TGTCGACTTCTTGCCCTACATAACACGGCAGGTTGTCAACGTTGCAGTGAATTGATTTTCCACGATACCACTACAGTGCGATGGCAAAAATTGACAATCACGTGCGGAATCCTCTTGCCACGTAATCAGTAAATGTTCAGTTAGCTTCCTTACACGTTGTTTGTTTAAAAACTGCATTGTGCTAGTTGCACTACGAAGGGGCCTTTTTGATCTATTTAATGTTTATATTTTTATGGCAATTATATGAAAAAAGAGCACAAAATCACCAAGAAGTGCTAAATCAACTTAATTTATTTTTCCCACTTTCTGCTTTGGGAATGCCTTCGATAACTTAAACCAAATTATTTATGCAACGTAATGCCTTCACACTAGTACCATATGTGCATTTACAAGTGCGGAGTGATAATTTCCACTGTTCATGCCACTCAGTCATTTTGAGAAATTCTGGTCTTTCAAAATTGCTGTTGGGTGGCAGACTCGAGCCCTACAAGATGCGTCTGTAAAAACATTCTTTTGCAAATATTGAGTTGGAATCACTCCTTTTAATTAAGCCATAATGAGGTTATGTTTCGCAGTTTCAGATGGTGACATTGCATCCGATTAACGTTGAGTGATGTGAATTTATTTTGTTGAACGGAGTTTGAGTATAAATACCTTGCACAGGTGGATAATCATTTTCTTGCATATTTGTGCTCGCCTGCAAACGTTGCGATTGGCAGATGGAATAGAGTTGGGTTGGTGATCAGGCAGCTTTCAGGAAATGCTTATCAACTGTTAATCGTAGATGTCATGGGTGGGAAAATCCTCGGTGCGCTAATGCGAAAGTGCTAACTTGAGCATTGCTGCATAGCACTCACATCTTGATGTTAAATACTTGAGTAAAAGTGCAGAATGATCTGCTTTTACTAATTCGGACGACTTCTGACAGGCTTGAACATCACTAGTTTACGGCATCTTAATGCTAAACAAAATAAAGCCATTCATTAGGCAAATTTGTAAACTAAACTGATTGAGTTAATGAATTCGTGAACTGTTCACTTCCAGTATAGTGCTGATATTGTCATGGGCTAGGAGACAGACGAATCAGAATCGCTTGTGAGAGAGGTTGCTTCTACCCAAAATGTAGCTCTCGTAGCTCTTCTTTCAAACACAAATGATGCCAAAGCCTTTGGGCTTGTTGACTTCCAGTAAGAAAAGCAGGTAAATTTGTATTTCTGTAGCATCGTCATAATGCATACAAATAGTCTGTTTCGTTGTTAATAGCAGTAATAAAATGGCATGACTGCGTTTTACATTCCCTTTAAACTACTTTAATGCCATTCGTGGAAAATCGGAATAGGTGTTGAAGGCTCATGATCACACAGTGGGCAGGAATGAAGTGAATGATCATTTGCGAACTCATGTAAAGAAGGCAGTTGTGTGACAAATTTTACTCAAATCGCAACATTACTTACAAATAATTGCACTGTTATTGTCTTATCGCTGATGCTAGTAGTTAATTAATCAGGGTGCCCATCTTATGCCTAAAACAATCCATTAAAATACAGAATTGTGTGAAAAAATCCCAATATGTCATTCTCTCATGAGTGTTTTCTGGCCATTTCGGATATCAATTAAGTGGATATAAATGCGCAGGAATCACTTTTAACAATGTTGTAAATTCAGGTAATATTAGTCAAATTCTGGAAAATTTATGTCACCTGATATTGCATGAAACTCTGATTAGGTGTGAGATGATATTGAAGTCGCAGCAAATTAGTAGATACAATACAGAATCTGAGAGAATTTACGAATTGCTGCCTTTGGATGTCATCATACTGCTTGAAAATACACCTATCAACTAAAATGCAATTGCCATTTTAAAGGCACATATTTCACTAAGCAGCACTTTAGCCCATTGTATGTCAAGATTTGATTAGCTAACAGTCCATTTACCACCATGCTACCAATGCGGACCATATTGTGGGCTTATAATGACCTATAAGTAAATGCGGAATATTGAATGATGCTTGCTTGGATGGCGAATAGGTAAAATTAATGCTCACAAACTTGCGTCTGCTACTTGACCGTAGCTAATAGAGCACTAATTTTGCCTCAACCTTGACCTCAACGGTCCCATAAGCGTCTTATATTGACCATTTTTGGTAGGTGCCTTGCATAGTTGACAGAGACAGCATCCATGGGACGGACCACCCTCTCCCAAATGCTACAAGTGCTGTAGAACAGTTTAGCATCCAAACGCTTCCTAGTGCATGAGAATTCTTGATGAGCGAGG